ATTTTCTCTTCGATAATAAGCCGCGGTGTGATTAAAAATAAAATACTAGTACAATTAACCACCATTGTTGACGAAAACAAAAAGCAGAATTAATGTATACTTTAACTGCACAGTGATTAAAGTTGTTCAGGCGCAAACCTGAATATCATACTTTCTACAGATAAAGATAATATTTTGCATCGTTTATAAAGGCTACCTAAATGTGGAAGAAAGAGAAAATCATTCAATTGCATTATTTATAAGTTTTTTAAAGCACATGATTGAAGTTTATGATCTGAACTAAATGAAAACAAAGACTCTAACCGAATGGAAGGTAATTTGGGCTTCGAGCTGGGTATGCTAAATCGGGTACTTTGTGCGTGACGAAGAAGCCTTCTCAACATCGCAGTAAGACACCAAGTTCAATGATGGAGACTGGAGAGCTTTTCCACTAAACAGCCACGGTAACAACTCTATTTATCCCCAAAGGAACATTGTTATCCAAGGATGATGAAATTGCCAACTTCATGTCCTGTGATACTACTGTTCCAATACGGGAGGCTTCAATAGGCATCCCGGCCATGAAAAGGCAAGATACTAAAGATTGCAAAGTAACATCATCAGGTGCACAACCAATCAATAACATTTTATTGAATATGCCAATTGCTTCAAGCATTCTTCCTTTCATACAGTGCCCGATAATGAGAATAGTAAATGTCACTTTATCAGGATTGCATTTCTTCTTCTCCATCTCCACTACAATAAGATTGGCCTCATCCAAATTTCGACATTTGCAGAACCCATCAATCACAGGGTTGAAGATAAATGGTTTTGGAACAATATTTGTACCTTCCGAGTCCCTCAAAAGTTTGCGAGCCTTGTGTAGTCTATTTTCCTTGCATAGAGCAGTGATGGTTATGGCAAAAGTATAAACATTTGGAGATATATTTCTCGCTTTCATTGCATTCAAAAGCTGCAAACTCTGGTCCACATCTCCATTGCGACAGTATCAATCAATCAAGGAAGTGAAGGTCACAACATCAGCAGCACAACCAAGAGAAGCCACCTTCCCGTACATGGATTTAGCAGAAAGCATATCACAAACCTTGCCAAAGCCATTAATCAAAATATTAAAAGTGACGGCAGTTGGCACAGTTCCTGAATTAATCATCTCATTAAAAAGTTCAGAAGCCTCCCCCATCTTACCCAACTTGCAATAACCAGATATGACTGATGTACAAGTCACAACATCGGGTGAACAGTTATCACTTGACCGATTTTCATTCAATAACTTGTGACCTCTATCTACATCATTTGACTTACATAACCCATCAATAATGGTGTTATAGGTGAGAATATCAGGAGAACAACCAAAACTCATCATATCATTAAAAACACAAAGGCCTGATCCACCTGTCTGGCTTTGCACAAGCCGAGAATTAGAATATTAAAAGTCCAATTATCGGGGTAAAAGTTTGATCCTAGGTTCTCGTTACATAAGCTAACTGCCTCTTCTAATTTATTTTGCTTAATCATCATATTCAACAAATTGTTTATAGCAAAAACGCTGATTCCGACTTCATCAGACTGAATCTCAGCATGCAATATCTTTGCCATTCCAAAGTCACCTGCCCTGGCAAAAGCCGAAATCATTAATCCTACCACAAAACTAGGCAAATGCCCATCAATCCTCATATAATCAAAAACTAATTTAGCCCAAGTAGACCCATATTACAAAATGACCTCAAAAGCAAATAATAAGTCTGAAAATAACGAGTAATATCAAAATTAACTCTACTGAACTGGAAAAACTTCAACCCAAATGCCGGATGGTTCAACCATTTAACAACTTGAAATTCAATAGAAGGTGTCAACTTCTCGCTCAAATAACCTAGAGAAGAATCATTCAAAGGCTTTGAATAAAAAAATAGAGTGCAAACAACCTTAACAAACCAAGCCTCGTGCTTTTGAACTACCCTTACATCTTTATACTCTTGCGGATGAGATCCTCCGTGATATTGGACGTGGTTCTGTGGACCGAAGACCTTGGAGGTGGGTCGAACCCTTGAGGCACGAGTTGTGAATGAAAGAAGGGTCGTATGTAACCCCGCACCATATATAGGCCTAATTCGATACTCAAAATTATCTTCTTGAAAATGAACAAAATGTTTACATTCAAAGTTGGGCTTTTTATTGAATTCTCTACCGTTCATGGAGATTATGAGAAATCCAAATATGGTACCATAGCAAAACGATCCAAAACTCAAGCCAAATGCGAGTATCTAACAAAAGAAAAGCCAAAATCCCCCAGATAAATCTCAAGCATTCAATGACCAAAATAGACCATTGGAATGATCACTGAGCATTTGTACGATTGACATTGAAAGAAATCTGAAATAAGAAAGAAAAATGCCTTACTGCTGTCTGATATAAAAATGGGGAATTTCTATGCTACCTGCAAAGGAATCGCAAATACTAGGGTTTTCGGCCTGGCTTTTGTTAGAGATCGCCTGGCTCACTGCTTTGTCATGGTAGGTGAATTATCGTTTCACGACACAAGCGAAATAGTTCAAAGGCTTGGGCTTTATCCCCAGAACTTTGGAGTTTGGACCCATTCCAAGCTTAAGTTAAAAAACAGTTTGGGTTTCGGCTATCGTATTTGGGCCTCTAAATATTATATTAAAGATTTGTTTTTCATTTTCTTCTTAATCTTGGAATTCAAAGATATTTGATGCATAGACCATGTGATCTCAACTATTAAAGAATAGTTGTTATTTTTTGAGATTTTGATTTTATACAATGTATATATAAATGCATGAGTGTTTAATATCAAATGATTGAAAATCTTTGAATGTATACTATTTTATATTAACCAAAGACTAATCAAAAAGAAAAAAAGAAAAACAACTGCTATTAGCACACATAATTTTTAGGGTAAACTACAGTTTTGGTCACTTTTATTTGAGTTTTACAAATATATGGTCACTATATTAAAAAAACATAAGTTTTAGTCACTTACGTTATCATTTTATTAAGATTTGGTCACTAAAACGTTAGCTGTCGTGAGTTGGATGATGTGTCACATTAGTGAAAATGTTTAATTTTTATTTTAACAGTAGAATATTAGATAAATTACTAATTATGGGTCTTTTTGTAAACCCAAAATTATTCAGGGATAAAATATCAATTTACCCCTTTTTTCATATGCTTTTTTCCCAGGCCTATCTTCTTCGTCGCTTCCCCCGCTTCCCCTGTTCAAATAGTTGGGGTTTATTGAAGATAAGGAGGTTGTAAAATCGGAAGGATAGTTAGACAATGAGCCTGAGGAGATAGATGATCCCGAGGCATCCAAGCCGGACGATTGGGATGATGAAGAGGATGGTGAATGGGATGCCCCAAAATGTGCAGCACCCCTGGCTGTGGTAAATGGAAGAGACCGAGGAAGCCGAATCCAGATTATAAGGGAAGATGGAATCCTCCTCTAATTGACATCCCCAATTACAATCGTTTTTGGAAGGTTCGGGATATCCCAAACCCCAAATACTTGGAGGTCGACTAGCCAAACTTTGAGCATATTGCTGCAATTGGTATTGAGATTTGGACCATGCAAGACGATATATTGTTTGACAATATTTTGATAGCCAAAAACGAGAGGGTTGCCAAGTCATATCGGGATACACAATAGAAGCCGAAATTCGAGCTCGAGAAGAGAAAACTGAAGGCCGAAGAAGCCGATGGTTCACACGAGCTTGAAGGTTTCCGGGTAATGTATTTGCATGCTTTCTTGTTATTAAAGATTTTATAACTTAAAGTTTGTTATACCTTTCTTGCAGAAGAAGGTATTCGATGTCATATACATGGCCTATACCTTTTTTTCCTTCTTCTAAATCACGAAAATAAACCCCAAATATTTGAATAGAGGAAGCGGTGAAGAAGATGGCCTGGAAAGAAAATATATGGAAAAAATGGTAAATTGATATTTTATCCCTAAACTATTTTATATTTTCAATAAGGCCTATGATTATTAATTTATTTAAAGTTCAAGGGTTAAAATAAAAATTATTATTTTTATTAACATGTCACTTCATCAAACTTACGACAACTAACGTCTCAGTGACTAAATCTTAATAAAACGATAACGTAAGTGATCGAAACTAATATTTTTTTAATTTAATAACTAAAAATTTATAAAACTCAAACGATAAAATCTAAAGTTTACCCTAATTTTTGTATTAAAAAAAACACCGAGTGGAGCAAAATTCGAGAAAAAAACAGAAAAGCCACGTGTCACTTTTATGGATAGCATGATCTCCACTGGTTTTGTAGACAGTCACTGAATATAATTCCAACAAAAGAATCAAAAGCAGGAAGAAAAATCCGAAATAATTTGTTTTACAATATTTGGATAAAATACAATAATTTCAATTATTAATACAGGATTACAATGTTGTTTTCTTGGCCAAAGTGTTATAAATACAAGATTTCTTAATTTTGGAATCGAGAATAAAAATAATTTTTTAATTAATTAGTTGTATACGATTTATTGATCGGTTAATTCAAATTGAATTTTAAAATTAATTTATATAAATAATTTTTAAATTTAATTTGCTTAAGATATTATTTTTTTAAAAATAATTTTTTTTATCTAATTATACCAATTGATTATTATGAGATGAGAAATAATTAATTTCGGTTTTGAGTGTTTAAGAATTTAATTTATATGTGAAATTATATATGGAATTTTAAAGTATATTCTTGTTTATTTTCAATTTTTATTCTCTCTCTTATCAACAATGGTATCGCCTTCTCATGTGCACTTCAGCATATATTATTATTGATACCCACTCTACTTCTAAGCTCCCTAGCTTTTCTCTGCTCGTGTCATTTTACCCAAAACGATGTCGCTTTTTTTGGGAAGGAATAATGATAATTCTAGTTCAATCAGACGCTCGGGGTTGCTTTACAGGATGCAGTGTGTCTCCGTCTATGGTTCGCCGGAGAAGAAAAGCAATGATGGGAGGAGGTTGTCTTCCACGGTGGAGATAGACTGATGATTTGGGGTCTTGCAGTTCGTCTTCTGTAGGAAGGAACAGTGATGATTCCGGTGAATCACAATCGGATGATGATGATGACTCCCCGGAGGCTGAAGTGCAAAGCCAGCCGAAGGGACCTTTGGACACCATGGATGCTCTCGAGTAGAGGTGAAAAAAAATCCGAATATCCAATTTTCCGTAAAAAATATTCGAAATCGGATTTGAAAAAAATCAGTTTTTTTAAATCGGATCGAATATTTTAAAATCGGATAATATAACCGGTTTGGGAAAAAAATTAGACGACCGATTTTTTTATCGGATTAAAAACTGATTTTTTATCCCAAAATAACCCGGTTTGAGTTTAAAAAACTAACTGTTAATATAGTTGTTGGGGGGTTTTTGTGGCTTTTTTTAAAAAAATTATCATTTTACCACCCTAAACATGTATAAATAGGTTGAGGATGTATTTGGTTGATTAAAATTTTCTCAAATCTTATTACACAACACCTAAACATCTCTCAAATCTTATTTTTGTAATTTTTGTTCATCATGGCTATAAGAAACACGGTTGAATCTTCCGTCGGGTGAAACTTTAAAGTCGTAAGAGTGATCGAACATACTTGAAATAAAGATATTTGAGATCACTACAATTTATGTGAGATATCAAATGGCTCGAGGAGGGCGCCCGTTGTAAACTTTGTCTAAAGTTGCTTGCACCGGAAGGAAACACAACGTTGAAGAACCATTTGACAAAATCATGCAAGGCACTTCGCTCAAGATCAGATCCAATTCAATTGAATCTTACACAGCAATGTGGTGTTTTTGTTTACGACAACGAAAAATTACGATAAACGTTTACAAAGTTCGTGATTACAAAAGCATTGTCGTTTGACCACTTTGATGATAAAGATTTCACGGTAACAATTCAACAACTAATGCAATCACGTTATACTCAAGTAAGTCGTACTACCCTTAGAAGAGATGCTATAAAAATGTGGCGTACGGCGAGGGAAAAAATGATTTTAGGATTCCAAGAACGTCGTTATGGTGTGTCGCTTACATGTGACGTTTGAAGTTTCCCTCATAATACCGGAAATTCTTTTTTAGCCGTTACGACACATTGGTTAGATCAAGATAATTGGCAAATGATGAAAAGAACAATCGCGTTTGAATTATTCGTTGAGCCACAAATCGGTGCTAATTTATTTACACTTTTAAAAAATGTAATTTGTCTTTATAAATTAGAAAATAAAAAATTTTCTATATCATTTGATAATTCATCGAATAATACAAACGCGATTTTAAGATTGAAAATATTACTTTCACCGATTTTAGACGGTGCATTTTTTCATACCCATTGCGTTGCACACATAATTAATTTATCTGTGCAAGCCGATTTGGAGGTTATTGAGCTGATTATATTAGAATTTAAAGCAATGATAAAATCGGTTATTTGTAACAACAACAAAAGACTAAATGATTATAAAATATTTTGTAAGTCGGTTAATAAAAAAGCTTTGAGTCCTAATTTGGATTGTCCAACTCGTTGGAACTCAACTTGGATGATGATGCATACCTCCTTAAGGCAAAGAGAAACATTGCAAACATTTCACGATCGGCTTTTCGAGAGGGGTCATGTCCCAAACATTTATCCGGATTCAAGTTGGGAAACTATAGCCAAAATAACCGATTTGCTTGGTGTTTTTAAAAATGGAACAACTTTTTTATCCGATGTTTATTACCCTACTAGCCCGTTGGTTCTTAATCAAATATTTTTGTTGGCTATCCGACTAAATGACTTTGAATTTGAAACTGAAGTTTTTCAAGGCTTTGCAATGAAGGAAAATTTTTTAAAATATTTTAAGGAGATTCCCCCATTTTTACTTGTGCCGCCGCTTTAAACCCAATGTTAAATGTTGACGGGGTTGAAACACCAATTGAACAAATTGCGTTTACTTTTAATCTAACCGATGATGAACCCAACTTTGTCCAAAACCAAATAAATTATTTTAATAAATGTTTTCGAGACATGTTTGTAATTTATTTAACTAAATACAAATCAAGTAGTGTAATACATGATCAAATGAGAACGAATGCGGAATCATCTAGTAGACGTCCAAGTAATATAAATTTGTCACTTTTTAACGCACTTGTAAATTCTCAATCCAAACGATCACGTACTACCACCCCAAGTAGCGAGTTGAGAAATTACATGTCATGCGATTTTCTATCAAAAATAACATTTGAAGAGTTTGAAAGTTTGGATATTTTGGCTTGGTAGAAAAAAAAAGAAAGCACAATTTCATATTCTAGCCGTCATAGCCTGTGATTTACTAACCGTCCAAGCTTCTACGGTAACTTCGGAATCCACTTTTTCTGTTAGTGGCAGGGTTATATCACAACGGAGATCAAGACTAAGTCCCGAGTCGGTGGAAGTATGCATTTGTTTGAAGGATTATTTGGATGGAGCGGCTCGGAAGCAACATATCACAACCCTAGAAGATGCAATTGATGCCGATTTGGAAGCAAACTTACACATTGAAGAAGTCGAACTTGAAATATCCCCTCCAAACGAAGAAGGCGAAGATGATGAAGAAGAGATGGTGATGTAGTTTATTTTTAAACTTTATTTCAATTATCGAACTTGGAAGTTTTTAAGTATTTGAATTTATCGAACGTGGAAGTTTTTAAGTATTTGAATTTATCGAACTTGGAAGTATTTAAGTATTTCAATTATCGTAAACTTTGTTGCAATTAATGAAGATGTAATTTTAATAATATTAAAATCGGTTTTTTTATATCCGGTTTTTTTTCAAATCGAAACCAGTTACACCATCCGACCCTCCAAACCGATTAGGATTCGAACCGATTTTTTTATAAACCGATTTTTTGGCTAGGTGAAAAAATCGGATCGATTTTTATCCGATCCAGATCAGATTTAAATCCGACTTTATGTATGTCTACTCTCGAGGAGGTTTTGCCTATGAGGTAAAGCATTTTTTAAATATTTAAAAAAAAAACTCAAAACGATGGATTTTGATCTAATCTGTGACATATGTGAATTTTGTAAAGAAATCTAGAGGAATGGCTAGGGTTTTTGCTTTTGTAAATACTTGTTATATGTATCTAGTTTCTAACTGCTTAGTATGTGCTCTAAAGTGAAATTTAACGAGTTTCCATTTCTTCAAGAGAGTTGAACTGGCTTCAGCTTTACCATATATCGGTGAATGAATTTTCTTAATGGAAGTCAGGAAGCATTTAAAGCATACTGAGCAGCAAGAGTTGTGTTTGGTAATTGCTAAGAACCAAGAATTAATTACTCGTTTGCACTCTATTTACTTGCTTGAATGATAAATCTTTTGATGCACTTGTAAAAATAGAATATCTGACCACCAATCACTCCTTGAAGTTGCACTCTTTGATCATCTCATGCCACTAAAACATTTCAAGGGAGTTTGCTTTTATGTTGCAATTTTACCGACTATAAACCAAAGGCAATGTGATGCTTCGACTGAGGTGTGAGTGTCGAGTACGGGTATATTTCATTTATTTTAAAGTTTTTTCATATATTTGGAGACTCATATGTTCAGACATGGATGCCAGACACAGGTACTTCAAGCATTTTTCAAATAAACAGGAAAATGTTTCTTAGTAACCTTTGCTTGGCAAGCAGGAAAATGTTTTCTTAAAAGGACTGCTTTGATTTTGCATACTTATTCTTTGTGGTCTTGCTTTATTTCAGAAGAGGCATATCCCAGTTTTATAATGGCAAATAGAAGTCCTTTATGAATCTAGCTGGTGCGATGGCTGCTCCCTCTGTCAAAGATTTCGCAAAGCCAGAAGATCCCTACAATAAGAAACGCAAGAACTTGTTAGTCGAGAAGAAGCGCTATAATCCTTTGAGAAACTATGTAACTGAGATATCCATGAAAGTAGCCAACACCAACCAAAGCACAGTGCTCAGGAATCCACAAGCAGCTCTGACATAAACTCAACCGTATCATCCCCATCTGGCTGCCTTCCTCCTCTGCAACCACCTTGTTTAAAATCAACTACCACCGGACCATCGACATCATCATCGACTAATCTGTTGAAAATCAAAACAAATCCACCGAAAGGTGGAATAAACAAATCCACCGAATAGCAATTGTCAAAAAGGGTAGGTTTATATTGAAAATCAACAATGGTAAAATCTCATTTTTAGTCATTATAATTTAAGGTATTTATAAATTAGTCTTTAAGCTTCAACTATAAATACCCTAGCTCATTTAGCTTCAAAACCATCCCAAAGCATTCTAGCTTTCTTCCAATACTAGAGAGAATTTAGAGAGTTTCTTGAGAGTTGTTTTCTCCTTTTTTTTATAAAGAGAGAATTATCATTGTTTTCTCCTTGGTAGATCGAGAGAGGTTGTAATTCCTATTTTCTCATAGTGAAATTCTTCTACCGTTTCTTGTGGTTTTTACCCTAAATTTTTAGGGGTTTTCCACGTAAATTTTGTGTCTCTTTTATCTTCATTTTTATTTTCTCAAATTATCAGTTGCCATTTTTCTCTATCCGATAGCCGTCTTCCGCAACAATTGGTATCCGAGCCAGATTAGAGTGTGTAATATATGCTTATTGTCTATGTGGTTGCCACCAAAAAGTGGATCCTCCAACATAAGAAAGTAAGAAGGTATTACCCATTCTTTGAAGGTTTCAGAGAACTATTCACGATAGTGAAATAGTGGGAGCTATCCGTAAAAGAAGCCATGGTAACGAAATTTGATATTGAAAAATTCAATGGGAGAAATTTCTCATTGTGGAAATTGAAGATGAAGGCTATCCTGAGGAAAGACGGTTGTCTAGCAGTTATCAGTGAAAGGCTAGTGGATTTCACACATGACAACAAATGGATCGAAATGGACGGGAATGCTATGGTAAACTTTCATATAGCATTAGCAGATGAAGTATCGTCAAGCATCGAGGAGAAGAAGAAAGCTAAGGAGATATGGGATCATGTCACCAAACTGTACGAGGCCACATCACTGCACAATAAAATTTTCCTTAAGAGAAAATTGTACACTCTCCGTATGCCAGAATCTACTTCAGTGAAGGAGTACTTAAACACACTGAACACTTTATTTTCTCAGCTTACATCTTTAAGATGTACAATAGGAGAACAAGAACGTGTTGAACTTCTACTTCAAAGTCTACCAGATTCGTATGATCAACTCATAATCGACTTGACAAACATTAATGTCACCAGTCTAGTCTTCGATGACGTTGCAGCTTCTGTTCTACAAGAAGAAAATCGACGCAAGAACAAGGAAGACAGACAAGTTGTAACATCCCGAAATCCGAGTCAGTGACTAAAATGAGAATTTTTGAAATTTGGTGATAAAAGTAAAATAGTTTAATAGTTTAATGACTTATTGGAAATATAGTTGAAGGTTGTTTGGTAATTATTGAATGAATTAAAGGGCAAATTGGTCATTTGATAAGAAAGATATTTTCCCCTTTTATAAGAATGAAACACGTGGGGGAAAGAAAGAGTTATCTGGGAAACTCTCTTCTTCTTCTTCTTCCTCCCGTATCTCCAAGCTCAAAGGTAAGTTTGTGATTTCTTGATTATTGGTTGATTTAAAGTTTGGGTTATGATCACTAGATGATAATTAAGCTTAAGGAAAGTTTAATTTGTTCTTAAACAACAAGATGAAAGATATATGAGAGATTAAAGATTTTGAGTTCTTGAATGAAAATCTTGGAATAGAGTTCATTACTCATATTGGAAGACAAATTTGACTTGTCATCCACTTAATTAAGGGATATGAAGTGATGGAATTGAATTTAGAACAAGTAGAAAATTTAGTATGATTCTTGGATTTCATATGGAAGATAGAATTTTGAGTTTAAAGAAGTGAGTATGGAGTAGAAGTGAGTTTAAGTATGTATATGAAAGTTAGGAATATTTAACGGAGGTGAAAGATGAAGAATTAAGCAGAAAGAGAGTGAATTCGTGCTTAAAATGTAAATTCTGGGTTGTGTGCATCGATGCATCTTCAATGTGCATCGATGCACTCTCAAATAAATGAACATCGAATGTAATCAGTGCATCGATGCATAAGGAGTGCATCGATGCACCTGCTTAAAATACAAACATCGAATAGGATTTATGCACCGATGCATGAATAGTGCATTGATGCACATGTCAAGGGATGTATCAATGCATGGTGTAGTGCATCGATGCATGCCTTCATTAAAAGATAAAAATAGCTTTCTTATTAGCCTAAGGAATGATAGTTTAGAATATATCAATTAGTATACTGATATGTATCAATGTATTAATATGTAGATTCAGAATGTGATATCGTTTCGGAACAATTGAAGGATTAGAATCGAGTCAAGCAAGGCTAAGGTGAGTACATATTAGAAGTATGGTACAATGGAATAAGACTTGTGATAAGTCTAATTCATATGTTGATTTTCATAGCACAATAGTTATGAACATGCATACATGATAATTATTATGATACATGCATAAAGTATATATATATTCATATGATTTGATAAATGATATATGTGAAAAGACCCAAATGCACATGTGATATGATAAGTGATATGAGCTATGTGATCACAAGAGAAATGACATGAACACATGAAACATAAGAATAATGCCCATGGTATACGATATGAGAGTTATAGGTATAGTTGGCATGCCAAGAGTCGAGGGTTCTACGTGTTCATTCGGGACGTATATGTATCCTTTGGAACATTTACAGTGTCTTTTGAGACAGATCTGATCCACGGGAATATGTATATAGTTCTTAAGGAGTGGTCCTTCGGGACAAATACAGTCATAGGTCCTTCGGGACAAATACAGTCATAGGTCCTTCGGGACAAATTTCATAGCCCCTAGTGGAACCCATACGAGTTGTGGTGACAGCATAGTGCACAACCTCAATGTACTCGAATACCTTGAGTTCTCAAAAATATACATGGGCCTATAAAAGGTTATCAAAGGTAATTACATTGTTATAGTTATATGTTATCATATTATTATTGTTTACATTGAATTGTATACGAAAAGATTGAATGGATAGATTGCATGTTCATATTCATACTGAATACATTATTGTTATATTTATATGTCTCACTAAGTCTATGACTTAGCGTGTAAGTGATTTACACGTAGGTACCAAGAATCAGGAAGAGTGGAAATAGGGTTGCAAGAACAGCAGCACTGCTAGAAGATCAAATCAGAAGTAACATATAAAGTATGTCTTTTGTCGTGTATATGGTTGGCATGTAAGAAAAGTGTCTGTTACAAATGATCTGATCAGTTTTGTCTTGTTTTGGTTAACTTGTGTAAAGTAACGATGTTATTTTAATGAAAGTTTTAAATTTCCTTGATTTTTCGTCAATAGTCAGAGTTTGAAAAGTCAATGTGACACCTCAGACTCGTATCCGCGTCGGGTACGGGTTGAGGGTGTTACATTTAATGGTATCAGAGCTACGGTTTAGTCGATTCTCAACATAAATCGGAGTCTAGAGTGTCTTATAAAGTATTCATGCCAACAAAATAGTGAAAACTTCTGATCTGATATAATAGTAAGTATGTTGTTTTGCTAATAGAATGATATGGTTATGTTCTTATAGATATCCGGACATGGTAGCTCTAGAAGAGAAGCGAGAGATGATAGGCCCGCTGAAAGTAGTAATTCACCTGCCCTGGCCAGGCAAGGTGAAGAACAGGCACCTTCTGCAGTGCCTGTAACTGATCAAGATGTGTTCTTTAGAATATTAGATGTGGTATTGACACGCTCCCAACCTCCTGCTACTTCAACTCCGAGAATGAATGTTGCAAAGGAGTTGAAGGGTTTAGGAGCTCCAGAGTTTAAAGGTGAAGCTGAGGAAGGTCCCGTTGTTGCAGACCTTTGGCTTAATGATGTAAAAATTATGTTAGATGGTCTCCATTGTTCTAATGTAGAGAAGTTAGATGGAGTGATCTCCTTGCTTCATGGGCAAGCGAGAGTCTGGTGGACAAACGTCACTTTGAGAATGACAAGTGATGAAGTGACATGGTCCTTGTTCTTAAAAGAGTTCAAAAACAAATTGTAACATCCCAAATTAGGGTCAGTGACTAAATTGCAAATTTTAAAAACTATGTGCTCGATTTCGAAATAAGTTAAAAGTCCATGGATTTAATTGAAGAAAGTTGATGTTGGATTTAATGGTAAAATTTGGAAATAACAAGGGTATTATGGTCTTTTCTAAGAGAAGATTTTTATTCTTTTTTAAGGGATATAAAAACGTGGGAAATGAGATAATTTCTCCAGACTATTCTTCAGTCTTCTTCTTCCTCCTCTCCACCGTGAAGCCTTGTATAAGGTAAGTGGGTCTTCAGTTGGTTAATTCTTTCGTTTTAAAGCTTGTTTTGATTCTTGGGATGTTAAGAAATATTAAGGAAAGCTTTAGCTGGCTTAAAACTCAAAGATTAGCAAGTTATGAGAAATTAAGATAAATGAGTTTTTAAGTGAATTTTTGAAATAGAATGAGTTAATAGATTTTGAAGTTTAATTTGACTTGTCAAGGGTTAAATTAAGAGATATGAAGTGATAGAATGGGCTTTAGAACATGTTGGAAATTTAGTGTGATTTTTGAATGCCATGTAAATGATAGAATTTTGAGTTTAAAGAAGTGATTATGGAGTAGAAATGAGTTTAAGTATGTGTATGAAAGTTAGGAATATTAAAGGGAGTGAAGTATGAAGTGTTGAGCTGAAAATGAAGTGATTTTCGAGCTAAAAATATGATTTCTGGGCAAGGGGAATCGATACCCATTCAAAGGGAACCGATACCCCTTCAAACGAACAAAAATTTCCAGAATGACATGAGGGAATCGATACCCCCATATTAGGGAACCGATTCCCCCTAAAGGAAAATTGTAAATATTGGTTTAATAAGTTCGTTTAAGTTGCTAGTATCAAATTACAAGGTGTAGGTATCTAATAATTGTCTTAAAATGTATAATTATGTAG